AAAAAAGAATTGAACTTAATACTTGTGGAAATTTACGCTCGTAACTCTAGCTGGAAAAACGAAGCAAATTTCCTACATGTTGAAAATACCAATTGAAGCGGTGATGAAATTGATGATGGGCGACAATATATTCGACGTAGAGAGTAACATTTATCGACAAGTAATACCGGAGCTAGAGCAGCTGTACAGGGATGCTGGCGTTGAAGTGACGTTCTCGCCGCAGTACTTTGAGCTGCAAACGCCATCCGAATTCGGTGTTATACTCATGGAAGACCTGCGGCAGCGTGGCTTTAAGAACGCCAATCGCTTGGAAGGTTTCGATATGGAGCACACTAAGTGCGCATTGAAAAAATTGGCGCAATGGCATGCCACTTCAGCAGTGCGCGTCGAAACTAAGGGTAAATATCCAAAAATTGTCAGCAGCGGCATTTTCACAGAAGAATTTCTGGCGGCGATGAAACCTATGCACTTAGCGTCCATAAAGTTGTTCAATGAGTGTGTGCGAACATATGACGGACATGAGGCGTACATAGGCAGCATGGTAAGTATGCAAGTACATACATATGTATGTATGTATGTGGGTTTGAGAACGAAATTGCAGTATTCGCGAAAATAAGCTTTTTCATTAGAAAGCTTCTTATCTATTTATTCCCATTAGCTCATCTATTTACTTATGTACATATGTAGGTGTGTTTATTTACAGTGGCGGATAGAGACTTCTGGTTGGGGGGGGGAGACGGGGGGCGACTGGGTCAACTTGTCAAATAAGGTTAAATTAACTACACAAAGAAAAAAGTAACTTGATTTTTTCAAACAGCGTCATTTTCGGGGTTTCCCCGAATGATCGTAATTTACGGCTCATTCGTAATTCATAAACAAATCTTGCTGAAGTCAAATAATTTTTCCATGCAAAATTTGCCAGTAAATGCGAAATTCGAAAAAATCGAACACTTTCAAAATTTTAAATTTTTAAATCAGATTTTTAGAAAAGTTTTGGGCATGCATTCCACTAATTCTTTGATATAAAGATAAGATTATTTTAGAACATAACGAGGGCGTATAGTCAATTTTGCAATTTTCACAAGATTTAGCTTCCGATATTAAAATCCACCTAAGAATTAAGTAAGTAAGTAATAAAACCTGTCAAAGTTCAGATTTATCAACTTTGATAAAATTCTCTATAAACATATTATTTCTCAAGCTACATAACCGATCCATCAGTTGGCAGGATTTTTGACTACCTCAAATAGAACATAGACTTTTGACGTAGAATACGTCTTACCTTAAGGTATGGGGGCTATG